TGGGGGGGGGGGGGTCATATAACAAAATCTATATTTTTCTAGTATTTCATTGATTTCTGTGGGTGATTTTTCCCATTTATTTCAATGTGGGGTCTCCAGAGTTTTACTTTTTTTTTTTTTCACATTAACATACAACCAGATATCATTCCAATGTATTTTTGTGTTTGTAGAGCTAGCAAGTGTTAACAAAATCCCAAATAACTTATACTGTGATAGTAAGTAAAACACATGGTTTCCATATAATATCATATCATATCATATATAAAATAAAACTTTTTAAAATGATAAGGCACCACATTTTGCTGACATACAGTACCTTATCTAAGTAGAGGATGAGGGATCCTCGCTCTGAAAGAACTTTATTCTTTTCATATTTCTGAATGTATCTCTCTTTCCCTGAAGACAACTGAGGACAAGAAAACAAGAAAACAAAAACCTCAATACATGACATGATCAAAATGCTTTATGTCCTGACTGCAGATGCATGTTAGATTCCTCTTCTATATACAGAAACATAACTGCATCAGTTTATCATCACAATACCTCTTTAAGATCACTTTCTTCAACTTCAAATCCAGTCGGTAAGCCAAAGTCCAGAATAGTCATGGTGGCATCAGTTTTATCATCTTTGTAGCTGTGAAGATGGAGAGCAAGAGCAGATTTTAATAACTGGTTTTGTAGTTTTGCTCCATCTTCTGTGTGTTTAAAGCTGTTTTCACACTAGAGCTTTTGGTTTGAACCCGAGTCAGTTTGACCTCAGAATTATTATATTGTAGTAACTCAGAGCTGCTCGTCTCCGAATAAACTCTTTTTAAAGTGAGTTGCATCTGTGTCAGAACACACTAAAAAGTAAGTCTCTTTTGGAGACATTATGTAGTCACATGGTTACCAGCACTCATGATCAAGACACAAACATACAAACATAGTGAGAAAGGAAAAATCAGGCTATGACCAAAAAAATAAATAAATTCAATGAGCACATAATGATGAAATGCAAATAAAATGGTTTCTTGACATAATAATAAACTTATTAGGATATTGGTTCACATACTAGAAATCCATAGTGAGCTTGTAACTTGCAACGACTCCTTGTTTAGCTAAAAAAAACAAACAAACATGGTGGTAATTAAAATAAAAAAGCAGCACATAATGAAGTGTTTTGGAGGTTTTATTTGAGCTCTGAATGTATGAAGTGCCACAGAAAGGGCAGGAACTCAATCTTACCTTCATTGTCTTTCTCCATTTTAACAGTCAGATCAAAGAAAGTACAGTCAGATTTCTTCTCAACAGGTCTGGCGTAGTACTGCGTCAGAACCTGAAAACAGCAGCACGTCTCAGATTAGATGTTCACAAGCTTTAATCTTGCTGTTGACTGTATAAACGCTCACGAACACTCACTGAGAGAGTGGCTGTTCCAGTTCCTTTAGCAGTTACATTGAACTCCTGGTTTATCTCCACCTGTTGAGTGAATGCAGACGTACTCGAGTCATCAGAATAATCAAATCCATGATATAACAGAGATACCTGAAGAGTTCACTGACCAAACACGAGACTATTGATGTAGGCAATTAAAAATTATGGATGACTAACAACAAAACTCCCATTATCCAACAAAAACTTTCAACTGATATGAGCTGCAAACAGTTTGAATCTAGAAGATGAGTTACTCCTCACCCTGTCTGATCGTGTAAGATGTGCATTCTCTCTTTTGATAGTATATCTGACAGGTTTGCTTCTTCCTGCCACGGACAGCTCCACGTCCAGATTGAAGTTTTGCCGGTCCTTCACCTGCGTGCGATACTCTGCCACGGCCTGGAACACCATGATGGTCGCCTAGAAAAGACAGAAAAGCATTCAAATCCTGTCCTGCAGTGTCAGTCCTGCACTTGTTCTGCTGTTCATCACAGTCAAATGATGAGGTGTTAGTGTACCTGAGTGGTGCCAGATCCTCCATAGTGAGACTGCTGTCTGTTCAGCCAGTGCACTGCTTCTCCTGCTTTATCAAAGTCTTTGTCCTTCACAAGCGCCAGCACAGCATAAGCCGTCGCCTCTAGTGAGTGATGGTGCTGTCCAGGGACAGTCCAGGACCGATCGGCTGTTTCAAACACAACACAGGATTATTAAGGGGCAGCTGTGGCCTAATGGTTAGAGAGTCGGACATGTAACCTGAAGGTTGCAGGTTTGAGTCTCGGTACCATCAGGAATTGTAGGTGGTGGAAGTTAATGAACAGCACTCTCTTCCACCTTCAATACCCACGTGTGAGTTGCACTTGAGCCCCTAGTTGTTCCCTGGGTGCTTTGGCAAAAATGGCTGCCCACTGCTCCGTGTGTGTGTGTGTGTGTGAACTTGGATGGGATAAATGCAGAGCACAAAGTCTGAATATGGCTCACCATAAAAACTATTTGTGCTTATGCTCCCTCTCTATTCATTAGATTAGTTACTGATACCAACTAACATCATTACACAACAAAATGTTGCTTTCATTCCTCTTGGACTTGTTTTATGTTGCATGTTGTACAAAACAACTGTTTTTAATGACTTGACTGACCTTTTAGTTGGGAGGAGCTTTTCATCAAGATGTCTTTATTGAGTTTGTTGGCATTGGCCATGGCATAGGACGTCATCGCTACAGCGTAAGGATTGGTCAGCTGTGGAAGCCGACCTTCCAAGAAAGAAACAGCCTTCCTGATACTTTCCTGCAGACTCTATAAAAGTGTGTAATATTAAAACCAATAATAAAAGAAAAAAAAATCAACTGTTAATTTATAAATCAATCCCTGCAAACAAGCCTGCACTGGCCCTTTATGGGCTGCCAGCACAGGGACCCTGATAATTTGCTCATTGGCAAAACGTTGGTCCCTTAGCACTGACCCCGCACGGGCAGCACATTTGCACATTTGTTATAGCAAAAGTTGTGAGAAAAAACTGATCTGATGGTTACTTATTGATGATTCAGTCATCATGTAGTGTCCTGACTCACTGATGTCATTCTCAGGCTGATCTCTGAGAACATTATTTAGATTTAAAAATTTCACTGTATAGTAGCCCAAAATACCACTGCATGAAATGTTATCCTCTTTCAATATTTTGAACGTTTTTAAGTCATTATGCAGAAATTATTTGTACAGGATTATGTAGACTCAGACAGATATCAATATTCAGTGTATGAACCTCAACAATGGTGACAATCAACGGAAAAGCTTGTTTTCTGAAGTTCACAGTTGATCTGAATATTTTGTTGACTCACCTTTGTCGAGGTTCATACGCTGAATCTTAATATCTGTGTGAATCTACACGCTCTCATCCAAATAATATCTGCAAAAAAACTTAATGTTCAAAATATTAAAGCAGGACAAAATTTCATGCAGTTATAATCTATGGTTGCTATAATGTGAAACACTTAAATCTAAATAACACCCTCAGCGGTCAAGCTGTTGGTGAAATCATGCTACTATGTGATGAGTCAATCATCAGATCAGTTTTTTCTTACAACTTTTGCTATAACAAACGTGCTTCAGAAACACACAGTTACAGCAGACAAAGAAAAACTCAAATTAAAAAGTCAAGGGTCAGGAACCCAACTAAAGCAAGCATTTACCTCCATAATGGTGACTTCAAACTTTATTATTTTCAATAAAACGGCGCTAAGGCTTCCTGGAGGCTAAGTGAGGTCTGGCTGTGCGGGGCCAGTGCAGTGCAGGCTTGTTTGCAGGGATGGTTTTGGTAAATACAATGGTGAACGAGGTGTACTTACAGCAACTGATTCAGCACAGATCTCTCTGGCCTCTTGCATGGCAATCACGACAAAGGCCGTCAGCGAGGCATCGGCATCTTTGCCTTGTACGTCACCCTGGAATAAAGCACAAATAAACAAAATATCACTAAAATGTGTTTTCCTATTGAATTAACAAATGTAACTTGCTACACACAAATACATAGTACAATGAAAAATATATAAAATGATAATTAAAAAAAAAATGCAGTAGGATTTTCTGCATCTATCATTGGCTGCATGATGTCGAGTTTCCTGATTGGCCGTATTACCTGCAGGTTACAGCCAGAGGACATACTTCTCTATCTTCTCTAAGCATCCTGTCGATCAACAGAGCAGTATGCTTCTGCTAAATTAACTGGGATGTAAATTTACTGAGATTTTGGCAGAAAATAATAGATGTGATAACAGAATGGATAAAGCTGTGTTTACATGTCTGAAATGATGCAGGTTTAATTTATTACTGTAAACTTTGTTTGATAATGATGTCTAGCCTAAAAAAACTAGCGTTTTCATTAATGAGACATATTGAGTGAGTATCATAACCTTGTTTGATGAAGCAGGTTGTGAGAAAGAGGGAGATATCAACATTTAATACTCTTTGAAGTAGACTGTGTAGCCCTTTACTGAAATATATCGCAGTAATTGTTAGACCTACAGGGAAAATATAAATAATAAAAATCATAATTGCGAAATGTTGATTTTTTTTCTAAATAATGAAAATGCATGACGATCACATGGTGTTCAAATTTACTTGATTTACTATCATCGTGTAAACATCTGTCCTGTGAAATGGCTTATTCAGTGCCATATTAAAAATATATAAATAAATAGAATGCAATTTTTATGACCCTCTTTCAAGGAAAAATAAGACAAACGTTTCAAATTCTATAAGGGTTTAGCAAACATTAATTTCATCTTACACATTAATTGTAGGTCACTGTAATTACTTAATGCAGTTTTACTGATAGCTGCCATTCCTGTTTTCCTCCACAGATGAGTTTAAATACAGTCTGTCATAGTGACATTTACCACCATCTCTCCATGAATTACAGCTGAACCCTCTTTAAAGGAGCCGTCTTGTATTTGTTTGTGGAGAATCAGCCACTTAAGGGCGCTGCAGATCACATTCTCCTCTATAGAAACAAGGTTATTGGCCATGCTGAAGACTTTAGCCACATATGCTGTCAACCTTTAACAGACAGAAACAAATGAAAATGAGTTGCAAGTAATAACTTGCTACCAATAATATTCAAAGATAATAATGATAATAAATTATTACAGAAGAAACTGAGACTGAAAATAAATCAAAACAAATAAAACTGATTGAAATTAAAATACCATGTGCTGCTCGGTCTGTGTCTCCATGCAGCGTAGGATCCATCTGATTTACGGTAAACCAGCTGCCGCTGATAACCTTAATACAAAAAGGATAAAGAAAAAATATTAATTTGTTTATTATCTATATTTATTTTTATTATCTAGGTATTTTTTCATCTTTGAGAGTACTTTATGATATTATTCCAAATCATAGTCATATTCTGTATATCTGTTGTGTGCTGCTGACCTGTTCTGATATGGTTAACAGCTTCATTACGGCGATCCATGCCAACAGTGTCCCACTGATTGGTGCTGTCCAGATAATGAGTGGCTATGAGAGGTAGAGTCATATAGATCATGTTCTGCTCTCCACATCCAGTGGGCTGGACAATAAGACGACCCATGAAGTCTCCACTGATGGCCTGCTCGACTGTCTGAGTGATCTCTTCAGCTGGAGAGGTAAAAGAGTTTATTACATTTCTTATGAGCTGTCATTTATGCAGAATGTGGTCAGAACAAAGACACATACCAAAAAGCTTTGTTTGGACTTATGCTTATGCAGGTTGAGAGACATAAACGTGTTATGACGCAGTGACGTAAACATGATGGTGCAACTGACCTTCATCAAAGTCCCTTTAAGGCAAGTCATTTCACTCAAAAGCCATCTTTGAAAGACTCTCATGCAGCTTTTCATTCATGCAAGTACAGCTCCTATCTCTTTGAATGGCGAAACATCAAATTCTCCCAAGATGTTCACCAGCTTACGATTACAGTTCAAATTTGAAATCAACAATTAAATCTGACAACAACTTTCTCATAAATGTTATTTCTTATGCTCAATTTGCTTTAAAAAAAAGTGCTTATTTTTCAGCCTAGACCAGCCAATGTGCACGTGCAGTTGTGCTGAGTTTGAGACATGGTCAGATGTGGGAACATTTGAGTTGAAATGTCACACTTCCAACCTCAATGATTTCCAGTCATTCACCCGTCACATCATCATGCAGACCTCATGATGTCGCCACGACACAAAGAGAGCATTACGTGTTTTTGTGTCAATTATGGCAAAAACTGAAAACAATTAACATAAAACTTTGCTTTTAGTTTTGAAAACAGCTGAGGAAAAGCAAAAACTAAAGTATAATTTTATGAACTTAATGTCTAATGTTTTTAAGTTTGCCCTTCATTACACAGCGCTCTTGTTGTTAGGATGACAAAAAGCTTTAGTTACATTTTCAGCCTGTTCTGCCTCAGTACTCGTCAATGTCAGAGTGACTGAGCTGGCCAATCAAATCTATTATTATTATTTTTTAATCTATTTATGTCAGTTGTTTCCCCAATCTAATGTTGGATTTCAGTTTAGATTTGTGATGCTTTGTGTTAAAGATATATTATATTTATTATATATTATATTACAAAGTTTTTAAAATCCATCTTTTATAGTTTTAAAAATTACAAGTTCATTGTTGTGTATGAAGGTCTGGGTTACATTGCTTAAATTGATCACTTAAACACATAACCTCAAAATAACCTCTTTAATATTTTAAACTTTAACTATAGTAAAGTGTTTGTTCAGCTATACTTTGTCGCTTGCGGATCTCGGATGCTTACACAAGCCTGGCCCTTAACCATGGCTTTATTATAATTGTGTAGTAACCATGTTTTATGGTGTATTGATAACCATTTGTATAACCACAGTTTTACTACAAATATGTGGGATTACAAATTTAAGAATCTGTTTAAGATCTGATGATTCTACATCCTGACATAATAATAATATTAATATATGAAAAACTAAGGTGATCTACATTGTATTGGGCATTCAAGGTGAACATGATGGCATCTGCTTACTGATTAAATTCAATGTAGTTTCCAGTGAGCGGGTCTGCAAGTCTCTGATCTTCCTACTGAGAGTTAACTACATGTGAATGTTTAAACATCTTAGGTTCTCGTGGCCAGGTGCAGCTTAAACCATTTGGGTACTGTTATCTTTGGGGAGTAGGTTTGCTGAAGCTCACAGTCGGGGTTGATTTTCTGTATTGTCTTAAGATGTTTTCTTTAGGTGGTCACTTCTGAGGCTATGTGTTCGGTCAACACCTTTAAGGACTGCCCAGTCCCAGGCTTTGTCAGACTTTTGATGCCTGCAGCGCCACACAGCGTGTTCTCAATAAAGAGTCCTGTTGAAGATACCCAAGAGTCTCCTGGTCTTCACTTCTGAGTTTCCAACAAATACCATGCTTGAACTATGGTTAGTGTAGCAAAACCATGGTTAATTTGTGGTTAATGGTTTAACTGAAAACCACGGTTTTTGTTTTTATTTGTAGTAAATCCCTGGTTAATTTCGTAAGAGGTGAAAGGGGCATAAAACTTAACTCATAAAATTATCGAGTTATAGAATTGATCTTTCCTTAAACAAAACACACATACAGCTTTAAAGAAATAATCACTACACATTCATAAAATCGCTTTTTCCTTACCAGTAATTGCGATGTACGTGTCAGCAGGTGTGTCTGGAAGCCGTCCAGTTGGTATGACAGATTTAAAAACTAAAGGTTTTTCCCCTGATGAGAAATAGAGAAGAACAGCAAGATGGAGGAAAAGTCATGAGTCTGGATTGGCTGGAACTATAATGAAATTCATAGATGTTATATATATATAATTACCTGAACGTGTAATGTGTGTAATGTTCTATAACAGAAATATAACACAGTGATGTTATTGTGTGCTTCACAGTAAATCTCACCATTCTTAACAGGATTGAGCTCCACATTTTCTCTGTGTGAAATCAGCACACCCTCAGACTGAAAGAGAGAGAGAATGTTAACTACCTGTTGTAATGTCTCTTCTAGTGCAGTGTATCCAATAGACTACGTGCACGGAGAGTTATAACTCAGAACCACATGTTTATTACAGAACACCAGCAGCTCCTGCTGCTAACCCGCTCATGCCTGGTACAGTCTAACTCGTTCATCCAGTAACCCCCCACAGTCCATCCCTAGGTGGCCCTCTAGTGGGGTCAATATGCAATTACATCATAAATGCATATAACACTACACCACACCTGTGGTGTTTTCTGTTCTTGTATTGATCAATATACTAACAAAAGACCAAATCAAATGAAACAAAAAGTGACAGAATTTCCCATCAGACGTACCACCACCTTCAGCGGCTTTCTCACTCCATCAGATAAACCAAATGCAGAAGCATTCACCTCAATCATGTGACTTCCCAGCATCATGGGAATAATCACATATGAAACGGCTATGCTGGAGCCTTTGTCAACAGATACTGTTGTTCTGTATTTGCCTTTCTTACTGGCAGAGCTGCAAACATCTTCTGTCTCCATGAACTCCACACGCACCTGGTGAAAACAGGAGAATGAGACTCAAATCACTTAAATATCCAGAGGAAACTTCACCAAAAATGCATTTGATTTGAATATAAAATGTATGATGGAGGAGGACATTTCTGTTTTAGAACAAGACAGTATTCTTCACTTATTTTCAGTTTGTGTCACTAGCAGCACAAAAACCTCAAATGAGTCTCAGGATCCATGTGCAAAAGGACATGTTTAATTTAAATGTACTTCATTATAATAGTTTTATCATTGTGTTTATTCTAGTTATTGCGTCTGCTGAGTAGGTGTGGTTACAGAGAGTCTCGCGAGTTCAGAGAGGCTAATAAGAGATCCGAGGCAGCAATGGTGGAAAAACAAAGAAAACGTGCAATGCATATCATAAACTATCAAAGTGAGGCTGATTGATGTTATCGAGCTGGGGATTGGCCATAAGCATACAGATTGTGTGCAGACTGAAGTTTTCTGCACTGATGGTCGGCTGATGCTGTGTGATTGCTTCGGAGTTCGTTGGGATTAATTTACCCGTTGAGTTTCTCGTGAGCGTCATTAACGATTATAAGTGTTGTTTTATTGTAAGTTTTCTTAATATTGTGACCTGATATGTTATCAGATGTATTATTGACATATTTCTTCAATTATGAAATAAATGCTGTAATATTGCGTATATAATATATGTTTGCGGTTTCTCACGTGTTAAGCCACGTGAAGTTAGGCCTGTCACGATAACACATTTTTGTTGTGCGATATATTGCCCAAGAAATAATTGTGATAAGTGATATTATTGTCATTTTAAAGACCATTTTATGCCACTGAATATATAATCATAATTTAACAACATAATAATGCAAGAAGGCCTATAAACACTTCCAAATGACAACAAACTTTTAATTTTTAAAAATATTTAGATCATGGAAATTAAGTATCAAAATATTAGAAACCTTAAAAAAAGGTAATATATTTATTCCATAAATTGTTAGTCATGGAATCCCTGATGTCGGCCCCGCTGCAATTGGAGCGCTTAGCCAAGTGCTAAATACCCTCAACATGTTTTTGCAGCATTGATCAATGTAACCAATCACAGACATTTCTGCTGATTTCTTAAACCCAATGGCCAATCAGAAACGTTTTGTCAGAATTCACTCACCACTGAAAGTGCCGCCGTTTTTAAGTGCAGTTTTGCACGCTTGTGAATCATCTCACGACTAAGTGCAGATGCGATGTAAATAAGAGATTCATTGTGCAGTTTAGAGAG